ACTATTCAAGTAATAAGTAAATTAAGTAATATATGCAAATAAATGCAGAAAAAGTCCTAAATTTCCAAGTTTAACGTTAGTATTAGTTGTTTAAGTAATTTGAGTTCAGAAAAATTTCCAAGTTTAAAGAAGGTTTCTTAATTTCCACTGAAGTAGAATTCATCACCATTTTATGGTCCTTTTAAAAATGAGGAAATTTTAGGTAACTGGGAGTCTTAATGTATTTAGCTGCCATTAATTTTTAATAAATCTTTGATTTTAAACCAAAGATATGCAAATTAATAACTAGCTGTTTTTACATGTAAAATACAGGTCTTTACTAAACGGAGCATTTCTATTCATTCTATACCAATCATTTCTATACTTATTTCGAATATTATATACTTTATTATTATTTTATAATTAAGTCAAAAAAGACTTTTTCAAAAAAACAAATAAAATTAAAATTACGGTTAATTCTGTAATTTTTTTCATTTGTATTTTAAATTGAAATAATATAAAGCACATTTGATGAAAAATTGAGAAAGTTTGTGAAAAGTTATGCCTTAAAAACCAAAGAAAAGTTAGCACTTTTAAACCTTTGCATGGTAATATATGTCTCTTTAATGTTCTCACAAATGTTCTGTGGCATTCTAATACATCCTATTTAATATCATATGTTTCATTATTGCTCAATTTCTCACTAGTTGCTCTAGCTCTCATTAAAACAAATCTTATGTCTCATTGATGTCCTATGTTTCATTAATGTCCAATGTCTCATCTATGTCCTCATTATAAAATGTAATATGTCTTATTACAAAATGTCCTATTTCTCATTTATGCCCTGTGTCTCATTAATCTTCTGAGTTTTATTCATCCTACATCTCATTACAAATTGTTATGCTTGTGTGAAGAATCATAAACGCATTAAACATTTGTATTTGGTTCTTGTTTTTTTGTTGTTTTTGGTTTTTTTTTGGTTGTTTTTTTTTAGAAAATAGAAAGGCTGTCTAAATTTAATTTTTTTAAAACGCTTTTTAACTGTAATCATTATGCAGCCTGGCAGAATGTTTTTTCCTTAAACATTTTAGTAGCTAAATTTAAAAAAATATATAATTTTAGTACCTAAAACTATATTTTTAAGTGTGTAATAGTTATAAAATCATCATTTTAAATTTTTTTAAATATTATGATTAATGTATTTCTATATGACATACTAAAAGAATATTATAAAAAATTGAATTCTTGCTTCTTTTTTAATTCCTACATTCTGTAACTTCATACTTTTAATTGTTGCATACTGTAATCCCGAACAAAACTGGTATATGTTTTGTCTATTATTTTTATAATAATAAAACTTGCAATCAATTATGACCTATTTAAATATTTTATAAACAAAGAATGTTATTTATTATTAATGTTATCAAATAATAAATTAAGTTTGAAGCAGAATCACGTACAAAATAGAAAACGCAAACTTTAGTTACAAATAAACTTTAATTCCTTGGAAAATATAAGTTTGAGCAGTATCTTGAGAAGATAGAATAATTTAATACTTTTTTTTAAATATTTTAAACATCAGTTAAGATTTCCGGAAAGTTACAGGATTAAACTATGTATAACAGAATCACAGCAATTGTTTTATTTATATATTCAGGTAGCCAAAAATATTAATATTAAAAAGAAATATTTTTGTTAGAGTTGTTCATTAAAAAAATCATAATAGTATGCATATTGCTATAAGTCTCTGCTTTTAATTGTAAAAACAGAGAAAAACAAAAAATCATGCACTAAAATTGAAATGTCCAATTATCTTTTTTAATTGTTACATACTTTAAAAATTAAATGATACAAAATGCAATATTTCATAATACGATAAAATCCCTTAACTCCCATATTTTCACATAACTTTTGACAAACTTTTTTTTATATTTATATTTTTATAATGCGGTCATGTTTATGCTTTTATTATGTTGTCATGTTTATATTGTTATTATTTTGTCATGTTTAAGAGTTTGCGCGTTAATTTTGTTTAATTATTTTTAATAGTTAAGATTATTATTAAAAATAATTAAACTAATTTGTTTTAATTATTTTAATTAAAACACAGAACGGATTTAACTACTGATTTAATAACTTAACATTTGAAGAAAAAAAAGACTTTAAATAATATGCAACTTAAAAAATTACTTCAAATTTAAACTGAATTAAATTGCAATTGAAAAAAGTAATTTTTAATTAAACCAGAAACATTTTAGAAACAAAAAACAGTGTTACCATTTCTCCATCCATTTGTTCAGCCTGCAATGTCCAACTGGAACCCTATAACAAATAAAAAAATTTTTTACGAGTAATAAGTTATTATAGCAAACAATTTAATATTTAAATCAAACTGACCGTCTGAAGAAATAAGGCCCAGAATACTGGCAGAGGAATGTACATGACCAATACTTTAAGTAAGGCTTTGACATCTTCTATTTCAGTTACCTATAAAATGGTTGCAATACTTGATTCAATGTAATGTTAAAACTAAAATTTTAATTTACAGCTATAAATACATAAAAAAATACACTATATTTATGGTCAGCTCTGAACAACCAATGTTGTTTTCTTGGTGCATCAGGTGATTTCTTTGATGTCAATGCACACTAAAACAAAAGTTTTAATTAATACATGCAGCTAAACACAACTGTTTAATTGAGGTTTTAACTTTCATTCAATCTCTTCTGCTTATTTAAAAATAAAAATCTTTTATATGAAAAAAAATTTGAAATATAATTTTTTTTATTTTAAATTTTTAACAAATAATCATTTGTCCGTACATTTAATATTAACAAGATAAAATAGATAAAAAGTAATGATAAAAAATTAATTAATTACATAATAAAAAAATGAAAGACAAAAGTTTAGTCAATTTTAGGTTTAGTACAAAAAATTTAAAAAAAAATGCAAATCTTATACTTAAGGTGTCCTTTCGCTTGATAGCAAAGATCCCAAAAAATCCCCTCTGCGTTTCATCAGTTTCATGCATATCTTGCATGGCACCTTTAAGCAATACACTTTCAAAAGTTGCTAAAAATTCTCAGTTGATTGAATTTGATGATCAATCAATTGAGCATCAATCTACGACTGGATATCTTTGATATAAGTAAGAACTTTAGTTTTAATTTTAGGGACTTCTCAGTTGGGAATTGTTTTACAATAAATCTAGCTTTATAGTTTATGACTTCAAAATTCATCACTCTAAAACTACTTTAAAACTCATCACTCTAAACTACTTTTTCCCAATCTTTTGATTGGGAAAAAGTAGTTTAGAGCACCATTTGATTGAGGTGTTCATAGGGTGAAAGCATTAAAACACCACTTTTGTATTTTATGTCATACATACATACATACTATTATTGACAAGATAATTTTTCTTATTGGAATACAAGCACTAATACCTTTTTTTCCGCACATTTTTTTGATGAGTTCTCTGCTTACTTTTTAATTAGATTGGTTAAATATTTGAGCTAAATTTTTGTTGCTGAGCTTAGGATTTGCTCTGCTGATTCTAAATATGGTACTTTCTCATGGTCTCTAAGATTCTATGGTTTTACAGAACAGTTCAAGTTTAAGGTTTTCACTTCTTTTTGCCTTGCAAATTCAGAATCACACAAAAGTTTGTCTATTTCAAAAGCCTTAGCTTTAAAAATGCTAACAACCTTAGCTTTAGAAATGCTAATAGCCTTAGAAACTCAATGCAATAAGAGATAAGTGATAATACTCAAAATAAGTGATAATACTCAAAATAAGTGATTACCTAATATTACATTAAAGCTTAAAAAAAGCTTTCAAAATTCTCACAATCCTATAAGTATGTTAAAATACACTCTTTTATATCTTTCAACCTAAAATAATAGTTTTCAACTCTCTGAATAATATAACTCTCTGAACTGAATCTTTTTTTTCAAGAATAAAATAAGTAATAAAATTTTTAGTTTTGATTTTTGAAAAATATGGTGATTGTTCTGACCAAATATTACCCAATTTTATTATTACTATAAGCAAAGTCTTCGAGTTTACTTTCTTTGAGCAGCTTCTAATTGCTTCACTATTAGTCTTACTTGATGGACAACACTATTTTCATTAAGGTTCTATCTATCTATATGATCTTATTGATAATCTAACCTCTAAAGTGATTTGATTTGCACAACTGTATACAAATTTTTTTAAAAATTGATAACTTTTTGATTGCTTAGAACAGAAAGCTGATCCTAATCTCTCTTCTGTGACAGATTGGGGTTTGAAGCGTATTAGTAAATAACAACACTCTAACTAAGGTCCTCATTCTTTAAGGCTCCGAAATTGGGTTGTAAATGTTCCAGAACTTGGTCTAACCGCCAATCTTGAGCCTCTGTCCTATTAATGAATGGTTGCTATTGTTGCTAAGTTACTTATTCTCTTTTCTACAAATACTACTCCATGGTTACTCCATGGTTACTCCATGGCTACTCCATGGTTGCTGCTCAAGTAAGCTATGATCACTTGTTCCATCAAAAAAAATTCTCAAAAAAATTTTCCCTCACTTGTTGGTAATTTGTAATTCACTGATTCATGATTTCATGTTTTTGTGACTCAAATTCTGATGCAATCTACAGTTTTTAAATCTCATTTCCGCTGCTTTTTTATTCATTAGCTCTTTTTTATGCTGTTTAACTTATTTTTATCTCCTAACTTAAGGTGCTGTCATTTATCTCCCAAACTATTTGGTGATTGCTTGCAGTCTTGTTGAGAGTGAATTTCTTTTTAAAAAAAAATGAACATCAGGTAAAACTTTACTTGTTATCTTGTGTGACATTTTATAATTTAAATAATTTCAAAATAAAAATATGACTTGACTTGAAATCACTTTACATTTTCTTTCAATTTTTTTTAAGAATAAATTAACATAAATTAGTTATTTTAATAAATGGCAGTAACTTTTTAAGTTAAAGCTGTATGTAATAAAAAAAACTGCAAGCTGTCATTAAAAATATTGTGTAGTTGTCCCATGCAATACTTCATGGTTAATACTTAATAGTAAGTGCAAAATTGTTGAACATAAAAAAATTTAAGCACTGATACACAATAATGTTTTTAACAATGTTAACATTGTTAGCTACGATTTCGATAACAAAATAACAAAAATCACTTTTAGTGGAAAAAATATTTTAATTTTTTTTTTCAATATAAAAATAATTCATACCCAAACTATTTTTGCAACTGTTGTAATCATGTTTCCTTCTGGTTGCACCTTATTGTAAAATCTTGATCCAATCATAAAAGAGACTATGAATGTATATATATATATATATATATATATATATATATATATATATATATATATATATATATATATATATATATATATATATATATATATATATATATATATATATATATATATATATATATATATTTGGGTGCATCCAATGCCCCATACATTCAAAAATTGATCTTTCCCTATTCTTAAAACTTTTGATTGGTTCTCACGAGACACTGTGTTAAATTTTTTCAAAAATGAATGAGATTTAAGGGGCCCTCTCAAGTCTGAAAACTTGCAAAGAGACCCTAAACAGAAGAAAAAAAAGTTTTTTAAATGAATGTAATGTTTGATCTCAAAAGAAGTGAAACTTTATAAAATAAATATATCTTAAAAATAAATATCATTTTTTGTTAAAAATACCTTAAAAGAAAATTTCAACAAAAATCATGAAAAAATGTTTTTTTTTTTTTTTAATTTTTTGTTAAAAAATAATAACTTTTGTTCAATAAAACTCATAATAAAAACTTCTGTGTAAAACTTTTATAACTTCTAAAATTTTTATAAAATTTCGCTTTTTTTGAGACCCAACATGGCATTCATTTGGAAAATTTTTTTTCTTCTGTTTAGGGTCTCTTTGCAAATTTTCAGACTTGAGGGGTCTACCTAGATCTCATTCAATTTTAAATTTTAACACATTGTCTTGGAAGAACCAATAGAAAGTTTTAAGAACAGGGAAAGATCAATTTTTGAATGTATGGGGCATTGGATGCACACTATATTAGTGTATATATTGTATATATTATATATATATATATATATATATATATATATATATATATATATATATATATATATATATATATATATATATATATATATATATATATATATATAATTTTAAAACATCAAAAATACGATTTCTCTCAACACTTATAATTTTTTTTTATTATTATAGAAATTTTCGCTGGATTTTAGATACCAGCTTCTTCAGCTTGTTAAATGTTACAGTAATTAATAAAATCGTTTTAATTTAAATTAAAACGTTGCTATTGACGTCAGCTGTTGAATGGCTTCTTTTTCGCTGAAATTTAAAAAATGGCGTCCAAAACTTAGTTTTTACGTATTGACCCTCATCGAGATTAATCCCGCCATTTTTTGCAGAACACATGTTTTTTTGTATTTCTAGGGCTTCCCTAACTTTTCTTTCAAATTTTTTATTTTCTACTTTTAATGTTTTTGTTTGTTCCCAAATAATTTCTTTTTTGCAAAATGTTTTATGCAGAGCTAATGCGGATTGATGCTGCTTATTTTCATCAATGCTTTTTTGGTGTTGATGCATTCGTGTGTTTACTTTCATTTTTGTTTCGCCTACATACACTTTTGAACAGTTGCATTTGATTATATATGTTCCCGGTTGACTGTTATTAGGTAGTTTTGATTTATTTTTTGATGTTAACAGGGATCTTAAGTTTGGGTTTGATTTGAATACCGCTCTGTAACCAGCTTTTCGGAATATTTTCCTAAGTTTTGGTGAGAGACCGGGTACCCATGGTAAGGAAACTACAGGATAATTATTGATTTCAGATGGAATTGTAATTTTATTTTGTCTTTTGTGTTGAAACTGATGCGCAATATTCATCATTTGAGTTTTATCGTAACCATTTTCAATAAACACGTCGATTAGAAAATTTATTTCATTTTGCAAGTAAGACTTACTACAGATTGAGTAAGCTCGGTGGAGAAATCCTTTAAAAATAGAGTTCAAGATATTTGGATCATGATTTGAGTGTGGCTTAATTTGAATGTTAGTGATAGCATTGTTCCGATATACTGCGTATTCATACTTTCCTGTTTTTTTATTCATAATTTGTATATCCAGATAATTTAGTGTTCCTAAATCGTTTTCAACTTCAATTGTATACTGGATGGAAGGATGTTGTTGATTTAAAATGTATTGGAAATGTTTTGCTTGGCTGAGATCTGGAAACCTTGCGTGACTATCATCGACATATCTTAAGAACGATTTGAGGTTAAGTGCAGGGTTGAAATTTAGTGCAACTTTAATTGCATTGTTTTCATGGAATTGTAGAAATGATTCTGCAAGAACGACCATGAACGAAAGTCCAATTGGACCCGAGTTTTCCATTATATGAATTTCATTGTTCCAATGAAATATATATATATATATATATATATATATATATATATATATATATATATATATATATATATATATATATATTCTAAATATATATATATATATATATATATATATATATATATATATATATATATATATATATATAGAGAGAGAGAGAGAGAGAGAGAGAGAAAGGGAGATATATATATATATATATATACATATATATATATATATATATATATACATATATATATATATATATATATATATATATATATATATATATATATTTATAGATATATATATATATATATATATATATATATATATATATATATATATATATATATATATATATATATATATATATATATATATATATATATATATATATATAGATATATAGATATAGATATATATAAATATCTTACCCCTTAAAAGTGTTCCTTTTTTATTGACTCAATTAAACAATATTTTGAGGTAGCTCAATGATATCAAAGTATCAAAGTTGTACCATCACTCGCGAGCACAAAATATGCACCTCTAACTCCTAGTAGTTACTGAATCAAACACAATTTTGAGATGATTTCCAAGCATGTATTTGTTTCTATCAAAGCAAACAATGTTCTATGCTAATTGATAATTTCAGAGTTGAATATTATTTGGAGCCGATGCTGATGACGTTATTTTATTTACATTTGTTGATGATTGACAATTCAATTTTTTTTAGCTTTCATAAGTTTTAAGTGCACAGTTCAACAATCAAATTAATGTAAATGACAATCAAATTGCACAGTAAACTTTTTCTACTAGAATCAACAGTCACAGAGCTAACGGGTAGCAAGCTGCCGTCTTTGGGTATGGCACTGCGCCTATTCTAACACCATTATATTGAACTGAATAAAACGTATATAAGTGAGTTACATATGTGAATTGTCTGCAATTACAGCGCAAGAGGTTCAAACGTTTTAGCAAAGCAAGAATACCTATACAAAATAACCAGAATTGTCAAGCAAAACTGAAAAAAATCTTTGAAACGTCATCGCCATAGGTAAAAATATTGTTATTACATTACAAATTGCAGCTGCCTTTGACCAAACAAAGGTTTTAAACCATAAAACAGTTTTTGTTATCGCAGAAACAATCAAGAGCGATGGTCACAGCCTTGTTAACTGAGCATTGAACAAGGAATCTATTCAACTACAGCGGAGACATACTTTTCAATCAACCAAGCTAAAGGATAAGTTCAAAGCAGATTCATTGGGGTTGTAAACTCATGCACGACTTACCCGGAAAGGAGAAAGTAGACCGTCTTCCAGTTATAGTATCAGAAAAACAAGTGTCTCAGTTGCTAACTGTTGCCAAACTGCCATCTGTAACTGGGCCAAGCCTAAGACTCTGTCATGTTCAAAACTCTAAAAAACTGGAATGTTGGTTCTTAGTTCAATGCTAAGTGCTTTGACACAATAAGTTCTAATACTGGCAGAGGCATGGGGGCATGCGTTCTGCTAGAACAAATACTTGGCAAGAGTTACTTTATTTGGCATGTTGTCAGGGCATTCTGGAGCTTGTAGTTGGTGCAATTTTTCAGGCTTGTTTGGGATCACCTTTTCAAGCCCTTTTAAACTCGATGGGTATTCATTGACCAGGAAAAATACTAGCATGTCTGATGGTAAATATGCTTGTTGTATGACAATAAAAGTTGATAGCAAATGTTGCATCTGAAAAGTTTTCCAATCATCTCTGGTTTTTGTCGGAGGACCTGATTGGTTTGGCATTATTTGATAATCGGAAAAACGAGTAGCCATTAATTTGAAGACTTTCAAGGACAAGAAGTTAGAAGACATTGTTTGTGAAAGATCTACCATGCTGATAGAAAAATTGAAAATGCCAAGCGGTTTTCTCCAAATCAACCCAGAACAGTGGAGAAGAGCATAATGACTTCATTGTATTACTACAGCTTGTCCAAGATTTACAGGTAACATCAATTTTAATAACTAATCAGATTAATTTTTTGAATAGAGTGTTTTATTGCTTTACTTATCTAGTCAGTCAAACTAAACTATTTTTTGAATTCTGAACTAATAATAAAGATAACAGTTATAAAAAAATGTTAGTTTGTACCTCTTGTATGGTTGTGAATTTGTCAGCATTTTTACAGTAACTCAATGAAACCTACATGCTTAGGTCGCTAATGATCATGCAGAATGTGGCATGGCTCTTGTTAAAAGTATAGTTGCCTGCTCACTTGAGACGAGGACCAAATGCAGTTTTTACTACAAGTCGTCGAAGAACACTGTTGAGCCTTTCATGTTAGTCGAAAGAAGACTGTAGTCGGACATTGACCTTAACCTACTCAAAGATCTGCTGCTCTCTTTGTTTTGTGACATTTTGTATAACTTTGTGGCATGAAAATGTGTCAACTGTAACATAGGTTGATGATTTGAACATATCAACAGTAAATACTTGAAAAAAAGTTTGATATTATTGTTAAAAGTCTTAAATTTTATGGCGACTCATGTGTATGCTTTTTCAATATGATTGAGCTATCTCCAAATATTACTAAATATTACAATTTCATGTTCAAACTTTTTGTAGATTGTTTTTATCATAAAAGGAACTACTTGAAAGGGTAAGGTCATGAAAAAATCAAAAAAAAAATTTCCACTCGTATAATGGTCACCCTAATATATATATATATATACATATATATATATATATATATATATATATATATATATATATATATACATATATATATACATATATATATATATATATATATATATATATATATATATATATATATATATATATATATATAAAATATATATATATATATATATATATATATATATATATATATATATATATATATATATATATATATATATATATATATATATATATATACAGATACATAATTATATATGTGTGATTCACAATATATTATATATAAATATACATTTAATTAGCATTAAGTCAAATACCAGTTAACTCAAACTATTGTTATCTCAAACATTTGGTCCCTTGACATCTTTTAATTGATTATTATAAAAATTCTCCAGTTAAGTCAAACCTCAGATAACTTGAACTTTGTTAAGTCTAACAATTTCTTTGTCCCCTTACAGAAAATTTCTGTGGATAATCAAAACTTTTTGTTTGGAAAATAAAGAACTTAAAATTTTTATTTACTTTGCCCTCTTGGCAAAATTTGCATCAGCCAAGTTGAACTAATATATCATTTCAGCCAAAGTTCGATTTACTGGAAATTCGCTTCAGCAAAACATTCAATAAGTCAAACCATTTTCCTTAGCCCATTAGAGGTTCAAGTTATCAAGAATTAACTGTAATACAATGCCATATTAAAAAAAATCAAAAAGATAAAGACTTTATGTAAAAGCCATATAACATTCTATTTTAGAATGAATTTTACCAAAGCATTATTTTTTATTCATTTTATTTTTATTTATATATGGTCAATGTGCCATCATAAGATAAATTACAATAAAGCATGCAGCGTCTGCCTTTTTTGAAACATAAATCTATTTTAGTACTATTTTTAATAAAATTATAATTTTGTATATATGAATATATATGTATATATATGTGTATATATATCCTTATAGTGTAGTTGAAAGAGACTTTTATGGTAAAAAAAGTCTCTTTCAACTACAATTTTTTTACCTTGTCTCTTAAGCTGCATTTTATTGTCGTCGAAATGTCAAAACAATTAAATCAATGCGGAAGTACATTAAATTTTATTGTTTTTTAAAAAAGTGCAATAATAATGACTAGAAAATTTTTTTTAACTAGTGGTGTTTTTGTTTTTGTTTTATTAAAAAACATTTTTAAAACATGCGTAAGTGTTGCTACATCAACTATCTTATACCTGCTCTACAAGGGAGTGTTGCTACATCCACTATATTATAGCCTGACTCGCAACGGAGTGCTGCTACATCGACTGACAAATAGCCTGACTTGCAAGGGAGTGCTGCTACATCGACTAAGGGTTTAGTTTGCGCAGGCAGTCTATCATTAAAAAAAAAATTTTTTTGAAGTTTTTCAACATTTTCTGGTCAGGCTTATTAACCCGCTCTTTAAAACAACAGTTTATAGGAAAAACTTTGTGACTACTATGCAAGACTATATATATCCAGCGCTCGAAATAGTTTTTCAAAACTTGCCGATCAAATGTAATTTTTTGACAAAAACAGCTTATTTTCCCTTGAATTTTTCTAAATTTCCCTAAAAATAGCCAATCATTGATTGTTGATCGGCTGTTATTTCGAGCGCTGTATATCAGCATGGAACATAAGAAATCAAATGTGAGCAATCACTTTGACTGGCTAACATGTGGAATTGACGTTCAATTGTTTTTTTTTGGACAGTCAAAATTTTTATTTTTTATTTGTTTAAATTTTCATCTGAGTAATAGCTCTTTATAATCATAGATGAGTATTTGACTTTATGAAAATCCCGGAAATATTTTTCTATGAAATTACCGGAACATCCCGGAAAATTATTTTATTAAAAATTGATCATATTAACTGACAACATAAACCTTTGAAAACTTTTAAAACAGAATTTAGATTATTTAATTTTTTACAAAAAGGAATTTCTAATATTCGAAAAAGTTAATTTGAAAGTATTAAAAAGCAAAACAAAAGAAAAAATAATTGTTACAAAAATTAATCTCTTGAGACTTTTAACCATAGAAAACATATTTGTTTAAATGCAAAAGTTGTAGTAACTATAATTTTATGCTAACACATATAAATTTTTTCAAAAATTAAAAACAAAAAACATTAGGAACTTTCCGGAAATTTAAATGAGTTTTTCCCGCAAAAAACTCATCTATGTTATAATTAAAACTAAACGCACAAAAAATACAAGCTCATTGATTTTTAACTCTCAAAAATTAATGAACTTGTATTACTTTTAAATAACCATTTTAAATAAAATCAATGTATTTTTTAAATTTAAACTTGCACTATCAAATTACCTGCTAAAGTTAATTTGTTTAAAATTATGCTAGCGAGCACATATTTTAATTCAATTAAAAAGAGAAATTTAATAATATCCAATGTTGAATTTTTTATTCTAAATATCAAAACAAATTTTATACAATATTAAAAAAATTTTAACTGAATACTTAAAGTAAAAAAGTACTTAATATTAAAAGAAATTGTTTTGTGAATGCTTTTGAAAAATGAAAGCGTTGTTTGTCTCTTTTTATTCACCTTCATTATGACGGTTGACATTTGATGTTTCAATTTAATTTATTAATAAAAAGGAAAAAAAGTGAGCAAACACGTGATTGATAACTTAAAATTTATTGAAAAATTAATTCATTCCATGCAATGCCTCACTTTGGCAGGAAAAAGTTACAAAAAAAAAATAAATGAAAAGAAAACAAAAAAAAAAAGAAAAAAGAACAGTTGGTAGTTACATACAAAACTTTTAAACAATAGTTTTATCTTTTTTATTAAATTAATATTAATTTTTTTTTTAACCAGTCAATAATGACTGACAAGAATTCATTTTGAGAAATCAAAATAGTAATTTTAGTCATTTCAGGTGGTCGTTGACCAACCATTATTATCACGCTGATATATATATATATATATATATATATATATATATATATATATATATATATATATATATATATATATATATATATATATATATATATATTTATAAATATATATATACATTTTTTTTTAATTGTATGGAGTTTGCTAGCAAAAAATGTTACCAAAAAGTTTTTTTTATATGTAGATTATTTTAATCAAACACTATTACAGACACTACTGTTTTTTTCAACAACAAAAAAAATTATAATGACTTCAGTTTTAGCTTAACTAATTTTTGTTACTTATACATTTTTATTATTTGAAATAATTTAAACTGACTTACATGTAGCAATCAAAATTAAGCCTGTATTTATACCAAATATTGCGGGATAACAGTCGTCACCAAAACACTTGATTGTTGCTAAGAAAAAGTTAAGAATATAATATGTGTTTAAAATGCATAAAAACACTAAAAACAGTTTTTAGAAACCTTTCAGCAACATTTATATTCAAACTAAAGTAAACTTGAAAGTTCTCATATTTATTTGTATTTCTCAATTATTTATTGTTATTATTATTATTTATGACCTATTATATATTTATTGGTATTCCTATTCCTGATTATTCAATTTTAAATGCATTTATTTTAAAAGTGGTTCTTTATTCATTTCAAAATTCTTTTTTGACATTTTTTAAAAAATTTAAAAAAGAAATTTGAAAGGAGCAAAGTAATTTTTAAAAACTTTTAAAAGTTATGATATTTGATAAAGTGATGTTTCCTTCAAAATGCTTTCTTAATATCCTTATTTGCATTACTTTTTTTTTATATAAATACATTTTATATAATTTTACCACACATACACAAAACCTGAGAATTGCGTGTATGTATGTTAAAATTCAGCAAAAAAAAAAACGCATGGTAGATGAGTTAATTAATAATATTGAAGTAATGTAAAACTACAGAACAATAAAAAATATGTTTTAAGAAATAAAAATGGTAGCTGTTACTTGGTAATCTAATCAATAGTTATTTAAAAAAAGAACTTAATAAAAAAAAACTATTTTTTTAAAAATAATTTTAAATGGAAACCATTATAATATTAAATCATAATGTCATATTAATAAAAAATTAATAAAAATTTACGGAAACATTTTTAATCATGAATTTTTTGTTGTTTAAAATTTTTTAATGTATAAAAAATTAATATAATTTACGGAAACTACGGAAACGGAAAGTGGATTTATCGAAAGCATTTTTCTAAAAGAAGAAAAATCACATTTTTATTATTTAAAGAATAATTAAAAAAAACAACTATTTATCTGGTAAAGTATTTTTGAATATCAATAACTTTCTAATTATAAATAAAGATGATGAAAATTTTTTTTATGCATACTAAGATTTGTACCTCATTCAATAAGAAATTAGATTATTGAAAAACTCAATTTTAGAAAAATAAACTTAGCTCTCTTTTAAAAAATGCTCTTAAAGTGTTGTTTTTAAATGAATAAAAATCACTTAATTTAAACTTCTTCTTATGAAAAAAATTGAGTTATAATGATTACAGCATTTGATGCTAAAAAGTTTATGAAATATTTTTTGAAAATTTAGAATATTTTATAATTAAACTTTGATTAAATTAGTACTTTGATAAACTTTGATTAAATTAACAAACTCATAAATAAAAAAATACTTTATAACTAAAAATAAAAAACTTACTTCTTAATATTGGAATAAATAAAGTAGAGATCAATGCTCCAACATTTACCGACATGTAGAATAAAGCAAAAAACTTTGATAGTAAGGACGTCTGAAAATTAGAAAATAAGAGATAGTAACTAAATAATAATGAAAATAGTATGTGAAACAACAATAAGTGAAAAAAATCAATATAAACTGTTAATTTTTAAAATCAAAAAAAATTTTATAATAATAAAAAATTATTACATCTTTCTGATTAATTTGCTCCCCACCAAAAGCTGCAACACATGGCTTAATATTTCCAGTAGCAGCTGCCATAACAAATAAACCAACTAAAGGACCAATTCTAAAAATTAAACATTTAAAAAATATTAAAAATTAAAAATTTCAAACAACTATCTATACAAGCTTCCAATAAGTACTATATTTCTAAAATGTACTCATTAAAAGAAACATAAAACAAACAATTTTAAAATGTGACAAAAAATAGTGCTAATTTCAATGAACATTTGAACATACATTTGAATAAAACTAGCAATCAATAATCACAGATTAATCACAGGTTGAAACACCTAAACACAGGTTGAAATTTGCAATAAAAGAAATAAATGATGGTTCAATTTTTTTTTTTTTTTTTAAATAATCTTTGATCAGTAAAATTATTGCTTAAACTGTAACCTCTTTGTTGAAACAGCTTATTTGTTACTATTATTCTATGGTATATTATAATTTCTGTATAAATTTTTACTTTTGGGTATTTTTAATTTTCTTTCAACATAATATACATTTACAAGATTTAAACTTATTCTCAAAATTTGAATAAATAAAAAGAAAAAGGTTTCATTTTGATTTAATAGAACATTTTGTGTTTTTTTTTTGTCTTGGATTAAATTAATGAATTCAGTAAAATAAAATCTCTCTATGTTCCTAAAAAAAAAATGTAAAAAATATTTTGCAAAAGAAAAAAGAAAAAGAAACAATGAAGAAAAAAGAAATAAACGAGTAACAGTAAAAATACATATATTATGTAAATATAGACAGTTAATCATAACTTATAATCATAAATTGAAAAAATTTCAATATTTTTCAAATAATATAACTTAAAATAATATTTTATTCAAAATAACATATAAAAACTTACGAACTCTTTTGACCAATGAAAGGTAACGATGTAAGCGTTATAGTAACCTCTGCTATCGAATAAACAATTAAGGTCCAGAATATTAACCTAATAATATTAAATATATTTTTAAAAAAAACCCAGTCAAATTATTTAAAATAATTTATCTAAGCAAGTTGTTTACAACAATTTTTTCAAAACACTTTTTCCGCTTTTTAGAAAGTAAACTGATCTTAAAAGAATTTTTTTTCTTTCATAAACACACCAAATTAGTTCAAATATGTTTAAAAGTGGAATAAACCAAGCATCTTTCATATTATTTTTCTAAAACTTATAAATGACTAATGGTATCTATAAGAAGTAGAAAAAAATGATTAATTTAAAAAACAAACTTAAATTTTCCAGTGAAACTGTCTGCAACCATTGCACCAATTACTCCAGTAAAAAAACTTAACATGCTAAAAGCATGATATACTGCTTTCCCAGTACTCTTCTCCATCTTTAAATATGAAACCAGGTACAAAACTAAGAATGCTAATAAAAAGTATAACAATATCAAAGATGTGAATATATATATATATGTATATATATATATGTATGTATGTATGTATGTATGTATGTATGTATGTATGTATGTATGTATGTATGTATGTATGTATGTATGTATGTATGTATGTATGTATGTATGTATGTATGTATGTATGTATGTATGTATGTATGCATGCATGTATGTATGTGTGTAATACATACATACATACATGCATACCAAATCTTAATCAAAAGATAAGTGCTTTAGTTATAAATAAACAATCACTTTATACATATAAAAACCTTGCATGGATAGATGCAGTTTTTACTTTCATGCAAAATCTTGACTACATTACAAAATGTTAAAAAAAACATATAGCATGTTTTTCTAGTGCATTATTTTACTAGAACAAAATATAATACAAACAATACTTAACGTGTAATATAAAATATGATAATATATAACAAAATAAACACTATAACAATATAAACGATATATAATGACTTGTAATTGTTACATTGTTGATATTATTATGTATCAACAATTTATAATAATAACATCAACAATTTAACAACTTTATAATATCAAGAATAATTTATATATATATATATATATATATATATATATATATATATATATATATATATATATATATATATATATATATATATATATATATATATATATATATATATATATATATATATATATATATATATATATATATAATTTAGTAAAAATACTTAACTAATTATTGTGCATGTTCTTCAACAGCATGTTTCACCATCAGTAGGTTCATCAGGAATCTTCCTGTTGAACCTACTGATGGTGAAACATGCTGTTGAAGAACACAATAATTAGATAAGTGTTTTTACTAAATTATTATTGCTCTGTTTTTTAAGAACATTGAGCACTCTATTTGTAGAACACTAACATAATTTATGTATGTATATATATATATATATATATTTTTTTTTACTTCTACAGCAGCACCTTCTGGAGTAGCAGGACTAGAGGTCAAAGCCGCCGCTATTAGCGAGAAGCCGCCGCCACTTGTACCTACTTTTTACAGCCGCCACTTTGTGTTATTAGCAACTACTAAGCCGCCAATCGAACAATATATTCAGCCGCAGCTGATTTTAAAGTCACTATTGTTAGCTGGATGAAAAAAAAGAAGAGTTTAATAACCCAAAGTTCTCTTGTATAACTTAAAAGCAGCAATTTATTTGGAGCATCTTTTTTTGTGTGTGCAGCTTTTTGATTTGCTATTTAAATTCTAAGATGAAATAGTAACAACACTCCTCCTTTATATAAGTACATCAACGTCCGCCACTTGTTTCATATTTTAAATATTCTTGGCTTATAATGATTTTTTATCGCTCTAACATTTTTCAACTTAAATTAGCCGAATTAAACACAAACAGAGTTTTACTATTACTTAGTAATGGATCAAGAAGAAACTCGAATTTCACATAACAGTTCTTTAAAATACTTGAACATTAAACTGTGCAGCTCATTTAAAAAAACAACCATAGATTCATCATTAGTATGGAAATACTATGGTCAAATATTGACACAAAATTGTAAAGTTATCAATGATGAACATTACTGTAGCGAATGTTTTTTGATAGAAAAAAAAAAGTCGAGTCCTCAGGTGCAGGTCATTTATCAAAAATTCACAAGGTTAAGATTTCCACATCAAGTAGTAATTTGAAAAATCATCTATTTCTTGTTCACAAAGTTGTAACAGACAAACCTGCCGTTGAAGTGAAAAATGATCAAATTTTTACGTAGATGGTGCAGTAGCTCTATAGCTAGTTCATCAAAATATGATATAAGTCGTGATCTTGTCCTTTGGTTTTCTACAGATCTACTTCCATTTTCTCATGTTGATAATGAAGGGTTCAAAAAGTTTTTTGAAAAAAAACATTGGGTTAAAACTTCCCACAGGTTCTGCTGTGAGTCAAGTAGCATTACCTGATATGTACAAATCTTTAAGGCAATCAGTATTGAAAAGTTTAAAAGATATTGATGCAGCAACAATTTTATTTGATGGTTGGACTGAAAAGTACAAAAAAATTAATTATATGGGTCTGAAGTGTTCCATTATTAATGAAAACTGGCATAAAAAATTTTTTACCTTGGCTTGTTTGCCTTTAGAAAGTCATACAGGTGAAAATTGTCATAATTTTATCAAAGACATTGTTCAAGAATTTTTTCAGAGGCGTTGTAGAGATATGAGGCTACATACTGTGCACGACGGTGCAGCAAATATGATGAAAACATGTAAACTTTTAGGCTCAAAGGATCCACAACATTGTCTGGCTCATATCTTGCATTTAATATTGACATGTGATGGCATAAATAGTTGTACTGAAACAAAATGTTTGTTAGAAAAATGCAGACAAATTGTAACCTGCCAGAACTTCAAGTCAACTTTACTTTTAGAGGAATCACATTGTGAAGCAGACATAAAATTATACAACAATCTTCGAATCCTTGCTGAAGTGAAAGACATTGATGATTTAGAGCATCAATTTCCCATTCAAATTTATGATGAAGCAAACATGATTGAAGTAAACAATTTAGATATTGCTTGTAAAGAAAAATTTGATGATAATTTCATAAAAAGACACCATAGAAGTCTGAAACAGCAAATACGCACAAGATAGAACAGTGCTCTTTTTATGATAGAATCAATTAACCAATTATAAGATACTGTAGAAATTTTACTCAAGAAATGTAGTAGACAAGACCTTTGTTTAGATAATGAAGAACAAGCCTTGATTTCAGAATTGGTTAAATTTTTAAAACCATTTGAATCATTAACCCATGTGGTCAGTGCTGGAAATTCGCTTTCTCTTTTGCCATAAACACAAAATACTAAAACTACTTTCAATTAATTCTTGTGATTTAAATGAAATAAAAAAGCTAAAGGAATATTGCTCTAAAAAAATTGACCAAAAACTTAAGTTATCAACTTCTGCAAAACTATGCTGTTTTTTAGATCCAGCCACAAAAATTTTATATACAAGAGATGAAATAAAGGAAAGTTTGTTGGAGAATGCATTAAACATAAAAGTGACCCAATTAGATTTAATTCAAGGTATTATATGTCTATACAACTAATAACATCAATAAAATAAGTTTTTGTTTTGGAAAAAGTTACTGAAACACAAATAAATTTTATTAAAAATTAATTTTTTTATATTAATTGTGGAAAATAGAATAGTTATTAAATCAGTATCAGTAGTTATTATTTTATTAAATTATTGAGTTCTTCAAGTATCATTTGTTTATTATTGATATCGGTTTTTATTAAATTGATTTATCTGGTTTTAGTTATATCAGAGTCAGAAAATGATAAAGATTCAAAATCAGGTCCTAGTGCTAAGCGACAACTACTTCAAGAGATGAAGAAAAGTGTTACTTCTGCAGAAAAAAATTATCAAATTGATTCGGAAGTAGAGCAATTTATATCTCATATACCTACGACAGATGAAGAACTGGATTTTTTATTGTTTTGGCGAAATCATCATGCAAAGTATCCACACTTAGCAGTGCTTGCAAAAGAGTATTTTAGCATACCAACCTCGAGTGTATCAGTGGAATCCATGTTTTTATTGACTGGATTAATTTTAAACTCAAGAAGAAGCAATTTAAGTTCTTCCAATATGAAGATGACTATCTTTATTCATGACAATATCAGTCTTATTTGATTTTTAACTTTAATTGAAAAAAAATAATTTAAACCTAAATTTGTTTTCTTTTTGTCGAAAACGATACTAATTATAATTCAGAGCAACTTGCACAGCCAGAAGCCAGCAACTTTGTTGGTCAGCCAGTATCAGCTAGTTGGCCAACTTGCTCAGCTTTTAGCCACTTGCTAAAACTGTCAGCCAGCAAGTGATATGTTCTAAGCACGGCTTTAAACTCTAAGTAGGACTGTCTTATTAAGTTTTTTCTTTAATGAGCTTCAGATAACTTTTTTTTCAGACCATCCACAGCTTATTAGGACTAATTACCTGAGCACATTAAAAACATCTCAATCATGACACATACGCAACAAATTTTTTCTCCCGGTGTTTTGATGTATATAATATCGTTACATATGTTTGTATACAATCTCTATAAAACTTCAAAAGTATTTTATATTTTAAAATAATCGAAAATAATTAAAGAAAAAAAGTTGCCATTGGTAGGACTATAACCACAGCTTACTTGTTCAGAAACTCAGCGCGCTATCCACTCAGTCAAGCCGGCACATTGTTGAACGAAAAATTTTTAAACTATATAATGCTTTTTTTAAAGAAAGAAATGTTGTAGATCAAAATGTGTCAAACACACTCGAATGAGCACTACTACTACTACTAACACTAAGTTCGGCAATAATATATAGGATTTAATTTACATTTTAAATATAAGCAGTCAGTAAAGTAAATAAATCTATTTTTCTCATTCTAGAACCAGTTTTTTATATTCAAAAAACATTTATTCATCTTATTTATCTTTACAGCCAAAAAGGGCAAAACTTTTAAAGAAATATCATTTGTGGGTGTTAAACCAAACAAATTTGTAACTTTTTAAATTGTACTTTAATTCTTGCTAACTTTTTTTTAATAATATTGGCTGTTGTTGGAATGCATTGCAAAAAATTATTTGCAAATTTTGAGAAATGATTTTTTTTTTCCAAGCGATATTAGGGATTTTAGGAAAATCCCATATCTCAAAAGGTTTTTGCAGTTATGCAAACGCGTAGTTATACTAATAACGGCAATTTTTTTTCAAGTTTTAAACAACAAATTATAATTTTTTATGTCATTCTTTTATTACTTTTTAAAATTACTTAATTTTCAATAATTTTTAAAATTATTAATAATCTTTAATTAGACTTTATTTGGATAATTTTCACTTTTGAATTGGGAATTTTAATTTTGTGAGCATTTAGAATGTACAGGGCTAGTTTACACCCAAATATATATATATATATATATATATATATATATATATATATATATATATATATATATATATATATATATATATATATATATATATATATATATATATATATATATATATAATAGTTTTTCCGAATAGTTTTTAGTTGAGCACTCTATATTTGTATATTCAATAATGGATAACATCCAGTTTGATTATTTTCTTAAAAATATACCAACAACAGGAAAAACAAAATACAATATCAAATTAGTAGAAAAAATAGAAAGTTTCATAAAAAGAACTCATTGGAAAACTTGTTTCATTTTAAAAAACGAGCAAAACAATGAAACCAACGAAAATTACGGTTTCAAATCAAAACTAAAACCCCCTCAACCGAACTTAACAACTTTGAAAATGATCTTTTAAATTTAGTAAAATCTATCAAGTTTAGAAACACAAATAATCAATTTCAAATAAAAATAAAAAAAGAAATCCAGGAAATTGTAACTAGCAAAGAAGTTCTTGTATTTGCCGATAAAACCAATAATCTATACAAAATGTCAGCTGAAAGTCATGACAACTGATGAACGAAAATGTTACAAAAACCTACAAAAAAGCACCCACAAATTTAGAAAAATCAATCAACTTAGAAGCCAACCAAATAGCCTTAATACTAAATTTGAGTAACAGAATAGAACACCTAGCAAAATCTCCTGCATTTATAACCCTAAAGGACCATAAAGAAAATTTTAAATCAAAACAAACATGCCACCTCATTAACCCGGCAAAAAGCAAAATCGGAATAATAAGCAAAAAAATTTTAGACACAGTAAACACTAACTTAAGAATTAGGCTTAAAGTAAACCAATGGAAAAACACAACCGATGTTACCAATTGGTTTAATAACATTCCAGACAAAAATAATTGTTTCTTCATTCAATTGGATATAAATGAATTTTACCCATCAATAACAACCGAAATATTTAATAAAGCCATTTCCTTTGCAAAGCAACACACTCCCATAACAGACGACCAACTTAGAATAATAAAACACAGCCAAAAATCCCTCCTCTACTACAACAATAGTCGTGAAAGTTTCGACGTCACGATGGGCAGCTATGATGGCGCCGAAATTTGCGAACTCGTAGGAATCCACATACTTAATGAAATATCCGATATAATTATAAAAACCAATATAGGGCTATACCATGATGACGGTTTATTAATAATACGTAGTTCTAACGGCCAAGAAACTGAACGAACTCGAAAAAACATTATTCAAAAGTTTAAAAACATAGGCTTCCAAAAAGATATAAAAACAAATCTTAAATCAGTTGACTTCCTTGATGTCACTTTTAATTTATCACTATAAACCACTATAAACCATTAAAACACCTATAAACCATTCAAAAAACCTAACAATAATCTTCAATACATTCATACATCCTCTAACCACCCACCACAAATCCTTAAGCAATTACCTACTTCAATAAGCAACAGACTTTCACAAAATTCCTCAAATAAAGCTATATTTAACCAATCCAAAAACAAATATGAACAAGCACTAAAAAATAGTGGATATAAAAACAACTCACTAAAATATCATATTAAACAAAATCCACCCCAAAGAAGTCGTAAACGCAATATTATATGGTTTAACCCCCCATTCAACAAAAACGTCTCCACAAACGTCGCAAAAATATTTTTGAAATTACTTGACGAAAATTTTCCTAAAACACACAAACTACATAAAGTCTTTAACAGAAACACTGTAAAAGTAAGCTACAGCTGCACTGAAAATATCGAAAAAATTAATAAAAACCATAAAAAAAAGATTATTTTCCCAAAAAATTGAAAATAATGACAAAAAATGCAATTGTCGAAAGGAAGCAGAATGCCCCATAAATGGAAAGTGTAAATCCACAAACGTTATATATAAATGTATTATCGCAGCTAAAAATCAGCCTAACAAAGTGTATATTGGATTAACGGAAGGCGAGTGGAAAAACAGATACAACAACCACAAATCATCATTCAATAATGTTAAATACAAAAAGTCCACCGCCTTATCAAACTACGTCTGGGATTTGAAAAACAATTTTAATGAAACCCCAATATTTACATGGTCTATTCTGAAATCTGTACCCCCCCTACTCAAATATTTCCAAAAGGTGCCCACTATGTCTATACGAGAAATTTGCAATTATATCCTATCCTAAACCTGATGAACTCCTAAATAAACAAAACGATATCATGTCAAAGTGCCACCATGAAAACAAGTTTTTATTAAAAAACTACAAAGCTTGCTACAAACCTAACTAACCACTAACATTAACTACGCAACCCTATTTTGTACACCTCTAGGCTAACCAATAAATTATTCACATACACAGCTTTTGTAATATATTTTGTAATATAATTTATATTCTTAAACCCACTTTTGAATCTTATTTTTATATTTATTTTTAATACAATAATTTTTTAAAAACAATTCACGTTATTATTAAATCGTATTTTTATAACAGACATTAAAACATACAACAACTTCACATATATTAACCAAAAACAAATTAATAATAACATTAACTTTAACTACTAAACAATTTCCGTCCCATAACAATCTAAATTACTAATATAAACCGTAAATTTTTTCTAAACACATTGTAGCAAAATTAACTTTTGACTACTTGCCTGATGATTGTGGTAACACATGAAACTTTAAGTGGCAATATAATATTATAAATATTAGCATTTAGCTAATTCCTGATACTGCGGGTAACAGTAATATATATACTATATAGCTCTAGCTTATCTATTGAGCACTCTTTAAAATATACATTATTATACATGATAATATAAAGAAATCATCTTTAATATTTACATATATGCACCCACGTATAAATATATATATATATATATATATATATATATATATATATATATATATATATATATATCAGGCCTTGTGATGAATAAAAACTGCGCAACGCATAAGCATGACGTGATTTTTGACATCATTAAATTCTTTGCTAAAATATTTGCTTTTCATATTTATCGACATTAACTGCACCAATTTACTTAATTACTGCAAAACTACTTTAAATCATTAATGTAGAAATGTTGTTATTTAAAAATGTTTTGGAATGTTTCGTTTTTTAAAATGTAAAAACATTTATTTATTTTCTTGACGTTTGACAAGTTTTGTCTATACTAAATGAATAATAAACATTATAACTAAACATTTCAAAAAGATTATAAAATATGCTAATATTTGATTTTTTTCTTTCTCAAATAAGTAATTTAAACATATTTGAGAAAAATTTATTTATTTTTATAAAGCGGTTGATAAGCACAATCACTTGTATTACTAAAAAACTTTAACGAAGGTTTTGAATAGACTTTTAATGTTTACAAGGAATTTTATTTCTAGTAAAATAAAATAAAATAAAATGTTAGAAGTGAGCACGCTTCTTGAGCACGCTTCGTTGAGTTTCAGTAACTTTTAACAAAAAAGGGATTGTTATTATTTAAGTAATTTTTTTTGAGCTACTTTTTACAAAAATTTTAATAACTGTACTTTCTTTATTGAATTAAGTAGAATACGTTTTAATATTAATCCTTTTTTTTTTTTTTGCGCTTACCAATTTTTAAATAGTTTCTTCGAAATTACTCTTAAATACTTTAAATACGTCTAACAGTTAATAAATATTTTTAAATCTATGGAATAGTTTTAAAACCTAACATAATTACCTAAAATAATTATTTAAGTTAAAAACCTAAAACTAAAAGAAAGTATTTTTGTTCAATTTTATCGACA